CTGCGGGTAGTCGGCTGACATCGCCGGCGCGCCGTGTCACGGGGCTCATAAGCATGTCCTTCGAGATCCCCCCCCCCGGCGTCTCCTTGGACGCAGCGAGGGGGCGCGAATTTCGGCAGAGGCGGTGCGTTCTCTTGCGCAGCTTCTACCTTGCCCAGTCTCAAGTCACGCGAAATCCCCTCAGGAACTGCAGCCCCCCACCACCGGCAAACGCATTCGCCGCGTCGCTCAACACACTGCGGCCATTCTCATCCTCTCCACCCCCGCCCAGGGCCACGACGACTGCACGCCGCCCGGGGCTCGCGGGCTCGCTCGGATTCAATAGAACAGGTCCACCATGAAAGCTCCCTGCCCAGGAAACCTCGAGTCTTTCGTCACCGCCGCCAATTCCTCTACTTGCCGCGCCACCCCCACCCCCCTGGCTCGCAGCCCCCCGTCGAGCCCGCGCGATAAACAGGAAGGCGCCGTCTGTCTCGCGACTCGCAGTCTTCAGCCCCGTTGCTTCGCGCCCGAAGTGACTGCAGAATCCCCCATCTCGTCTCGATCTAACGCTACGCGATTTTCAGTCTCGACCGCGTCGCGCGCAGACCCGAACGCCTTCTCAGCGCGAGCTACTTGCGCGCGCACGCTCACCACGGCTTCCTTCTCGTTGTTACCCACAATAGTTCGCCGCCCGCGGTCCCTGATATCTGGCCCATTGTCTGCGCTGCAATACTTGCCGCCATCCTGTTGCCCCCCCGGTTCAACTGGGAAGCGGGCCCCCGACCTTAGTTGCCACGTAATGTCGCAAGCCCCATAGGCCCACTGTGACGGCAATCGTCTCCGCGTCACTTTCTTGACCCCTGAATGGCTCCTCGTTGACTTCTCTCATGGGGCCCTGTAGCATGTCGCACGTCTGTTCCCAATTATTGCCCGGCATGATGCGCTCCGAAATTGCCCCGGTTGAAGCTAGCGCCGCATCCGACGCATAATTCCTCTCGATCCGCAACCTGGCTTCCCGGTTCCCTTCTTCGCCGCCTGGCACTGCGCGCCCAATTCCTGCGCCCTGGGCGGTTCCGGCGCTTAGCGTTGGTCGGCGCCTGCGCCGTTTTCGGCAGCGCCGCCAGTCTCGACGCCGCAGCGCCCTGGCCCAGGTAGAGGTCGTCATAACATCTTCGTGAATTCCCCTGGGTTGTCTGCACGTCCTTCTGACAATGCCGACCGCGTTCATGGCGGCATTGGCGCTCATGATGATGATACTCATCTTCATCATCGTCATCACCACCACAATCAGCACCACCACGAGCACCATCACAATCATAATCACCATGGTCACCATGAGCATCAACATCATCAGCGCCCCCAGCATCATCACTCCTACCATCATCACCATGATCACCATCACTCGGGCGACGCCCATGCGTCCTGCACTCCTCCCCACCCTCCCCCGGAATGCTGCGTTCCCTCGTCGCTGCTCGCCCCCGTCAGCTGCGCGTCTCGGGGGGGGGGGGGGCGGCGCGCGCTTCTCGGGGGGGGCGGAGGGAGGCGGCGCGCGTCGTGGCGGGCTGCCCCCTCGGACTGTCGCTGGCCGCTCTGGCTGCCAGTCTGCGAGGCCACCCCGCCCGCCCCGAGGGGGCGACGCGCGTCCCCCATATGCGGCTGGGGCAAAAGGTTAGCAACCATTGGGCGATTTGCGTTGATGGCCGCCATGTTTAACAAAGCTGGCGCCACCCGTTGGCATTGAGTGACCTCATTGACATTATTGTGGCATCTGGCTGCAATATGACCCCTCCCCCCACATTTGTAACACTCCCTCTCGCTGATCGGCGCAAATCCTTTGTTCGCTCCTCCTGTCCAGCCTGGGGTTCGATTCCATTGGCAACCTCCCGGGTAATCCCCTTTCGTAGCCTCCCTTTGAATACCCCCCCAGGCAACACTTGATGCCTTGAGAACACCCATGTGAATACTCCCGCCTGCATCCCTTGGTAAACATTGCGCCCTTTGTTTCCCCATGTCCACATGTTAAAGGCTTGTTTGGTGGTTCAGCGGTTGGCCATGTGACAGTACTGCCCGCACGTGAAGCACATGGGCCCCTTGCCCTTGCACCCATTCCTTTACTAAGTTCGTTCGCGTTGCCGTAGTCGGCCGCGTCTTCCGCACTCCACGGCCGCACTTTAACTACCTCGTCTTACCTGGATTACCTCCAGTGGCTTCCCAATTCTCACTGTCGTCAGCGCAAACTTTGGCCAGTGTCCATTGCATCGGTGCTCTTCGTGTCGGCGTCTAGCCTTTTGCTTCTCGCCATCTCCTCACACTAAACGAAAATCTTTACTATGTGTCGATGTTCAACGGCTCTGGGGTTTTGGAAAAAAAAGTGCTTCCAAATATCGAACCAGCAACTGGCGTGAATCAGGATTACCTCACCTCGGTAACCCTGAATAGTACTGGAAACGAGTATGGGGACCCATATTTCTCCATGGACTCCACCAGCGCACTCTATTGCTGGATTTGGGTCGCTACTTCGTTCACCTCTTGAGCTTCTCAGGGCCCATGGCCAGGTTAATATTATGAGCGGCTGTTGCTCTGGCGCGAGTCAGGCTCGTCGAGACGCAACAGTCAGGCCCATCAGTGGCGTTGCTTTCCCGAGAATGCTATGTTGGCACGCCCCAGGATCTTCAAACAGTTGTGTCCCGACGGGGCACTTCCTTCAATGGAATGTTTGTAGGGCCCTTGGAAGACGGATCGGTTTGTTCCAACATCGTTCATGAGTCTTGGGTTTACACTGGTCCTCCACCTCCTCCCTCCTCTGGCACAACCATGACTTCCGGAGCTTCGCGCGGATTTTTCGGATCGACGCTGGGACCTCCTCCCTAACGCGCGGAGCGCGCCATGACGGTGCCAGCGACGCCACCAAAGGGGGCCCCAGCGCTGATCCAAGATCCAAGGACTCCGCGCGGAGTTCTGGAAGTGGGCGTTGGTGCCTGTCTGGTTTTCTCTGAGGGACAGCGGGGGCCGATCCACAAGAAACCTTCCACCAGAAACATAGACCTGAGACCCCAGGACAACCGTGGAGTCTGGGCGTGGGAACGCCACGCTTTCCATCGCAAAACTATCAAAACCCAAGAAACCCAGGGCACCCTGGATGAAGGGGCCCTGGGACAGACAAATCAATACACAAAACAAGAAAAAAGTATTCCCCATATTTTCCCATGTTTTCTGGGTTCTTGTCTTCCCCCCGACTTCCAATATTTCCTGTATGTTCTAGGGAATCGACGATTAATTGTGCCTGTGTGTGTTTTTTTTCTCTCCTGACTGGAGGTAGACAGGGCGTTTCTTGGCATGGGTCTCCACTGCGTGGGGCAGGGCAGCCTGCCTGCCGCCGAGCAGAGCGCGCCGCCCCAGGCCTGGTTCCCGAGGCAGCGCGAAGGGCAACGATAGGGGGGGGGGGGCACTGGCAGCCACTTGCCGTCGCTCGGACGTCCATTTCCCGTGCATTTGTCGGTTTCGTGCGTGTTTGTTTCGCTCGATGATCCAGGATGCTCCTCAAGGGTCCTCGCCGAGAAAAAATACACATGTCCAAGCGATGCCAGGGCCATAGGGGGGGAAGCATCGACCTGGAATCGTCGATATATCGCCGATAGATTGGCGATGGGCCCTCGATCGCACACCCGCACCTTCCTGGCCGGGGTGGGGCTTGCAGACCCCTATCGGCGACCACTGGGCGCTTGGGGGTCGATGCATCCCCCCCATGCCTATCCCCCCCTGGAGTCGAGGTTGATAGAAAGACGTGCGAGAGGACGCAAGACCCTTCCGAGGGCCGCATTGCCAGACAGGAACGCTACAGGCATGGATGACAAACACACAGGACATGAGGGTGCCCTCGACTTGGCAGGGTCGACCTGCTGATCAACCTCGACTATATCTTTGCCACGGGGGCAGGGGCCAGCCACTGCCCGGGCGCTTGCGCGCGGCGGGGAAGTCAGTCACGCGCAGAGGGGGGGTAGGCGGAGGGAGAAAGGCTTCTCCTGCTTCCAGGAAGGCGCGGGCCTTGTCTGCAGATCGTAAGGCCGGCGCCTTCTAAGAAGCAGCCTCCTTCTAAGGAGCATTCCCACCTACCCTTACCCATGCGTGCGCGTCGCCAAAATATGCTTAAGTCGGGCCTGTCTCCCTACAGGAGGATTTCCAACGAAAAACAAAAACTATCCCCAAAATAATCCAAAATTCTCCAAAATTGTCTGAGGACTATTTTTCGAGTATCTGTTAACCTTTTGGGGTATGTTTGGGGTATGGTTTATATTTTTCGTCGAACATTTCCCTGTAGGGGGACAGGCCCGCCTTAAAAATAGGGACGTCTTCACTCCGCGCCGCGCCTCGCGCCGCGGTCGCGCGGTTGTGCTCGCGCCGCCGCTCGGCCCCCCTGGGGTAAGGGCAGCTCTCGGGCACAGCTGCCCTCGTGCCCCAGGCGCGCAGGGCTCGTAGGAGGAGGAGACGGGAGCACGAGAGCGGGAGGAGAAAAGAACTCCCCCCATCCTTTCCTCCTTCCCTTCTCCACCCTCCTCCCGCATCCCACCCAGAACCGTCTCCTCCAACTCCTCCACCTCATCCCCCGCCTCCCTCCCTCCCTCCCTCCCTCCCTCCCTCCCTCCTGCCCCCTCATCGCCCCCAGGAAACTGAAAGTACTGGTGGAAACGGTCCTGCACCCCTGGGGCTTCCCCAAGGGCAGGCTCTCAGAGCGACACAAAGCCTCCTCCTCCTCCTCCTCCTCCTCCTCCTCCTCCTCGATGTCCTCCTCCTCCTCCTCCTCCTCCTCCTCCTCCTCCTCGTCGATGTCCTCCTCCTCATCCTCTTCCTCTTCCTTCTCCTCCTCTCTCTCTCTCTCTCATTCTCTCTCATTCTCTCTCGGCCTGAGGGCTCGTCGAACGCGGGCATTCTCCTCCTCCTCCTCCTCCGCCTCCTCCTCCTCCTCCTCTTCTTGCCCGAGCGGCTGTGAGCGACGGCCCGCGAGCGGCGCTGGAGCAATCCTCCGCAGGCTGCAGGACCTGCAGGACGATCACCTCTCTGGGCTGCTGCCGTCGACGACGACGACGACGACGACGACGACGACGACGACGCTGGCGACGAAGACCACGAAACGACGACCACGTTCTCGTCGTCGTCGTCGTCGACGTCTCCCTGCTATTCATGCTCCTTCTGCTCCTCTCGTCCTCCTCCTCATCCTGCTGCGCTCCCAGCTCCTCCTCCTCCTCCTCCTCCTCCGTCTCCCTGGCTACGCCGCGTCCCCCACCTCCTTCTCCTCCTCGTCCTCCATCCCATGTCCGTGTAAATGACTCTTCCCGGTCGCACCCCGAGGCAGTTGACAGGGTGGCCCAGACGTTTCGCCTGAACTTCTCACCGCGTAAAAGCTTCAACCTTACAACTTGTATCACTTTCACGGATGAAGGACGGACCACTTTCAAGATGTGGCTCTCGCCTTAGCGCCGCGCACATTACATTTGTTTTCAGAGGTTACAGCAAGATCAAGGATTCTCATGGTTAACGTCCCAGAAGTGGTGTTTTAGCACGATGTTGGACTGACAGGGCGCAGCAAGTTTGCTGATTCTCGGTGAAGTCCAGGGAGTAATTAGCACGAGTCAGGATCGTCAGGACACAATATGGGTGATTCGCGGCGCTGAAGTCCCAGGAAGGATGTTCTGGCTCAGTTCAGGATTTTCAAACGGTTGTCTTCCAACGGGGCACTTCCCTTAGTGAGAAAGAATCCTTGCAGGGGCCTATGAAGGAGAACTTGGAGGGACGTGTCATTGCCATATCGCTGGTGAGTCTTGCATTTGCATTGGCCCTCCTCCTGTTTCCCCAATTTCTCCATTCAGGGCCAAATCCCAAACCCGCGAACGAGCGAACATCGGGCCCAATTTGATGAGAGCGACAGCGGGCCTGGGCGAGATCGGGGCTGCTGACCTCCCAGCAGCAACCTTACCCAGCCCAAGCTCACGCCCTAAAGGAAAAACTCAGACCAAAAAACACCTGACTGGACGGATCCTTGCCTTCGCGGAGCATCTTGAGACTCCGCGCAGCATCCTTGTTGTGTGGGTGGTCGACACACTTGGCAACCACATGCTGCGACCATCTCTTGCCGACAGCACCGCACTTCGAGCACCACGAGACCTGTCCACCCCCCAGTATACAACCTGTGGGAGGGGTGGGCAGAGCGGGCTGCCTCGGGCAGCCCGACACGTGGGAACTTGCACACACACACCCCCAAGGGCTCCCAACTTCGCGTTTCACACTGCGCGAAGCGCGAAGTGCGAATAACTTCGCAATCTCGCGCCGCCTCCCGGGAGGAATCGGAGCCGAACCGCGAAGCGCGAAGCGCGAAAAACTTCGCGCCCTCGAGGGCGCCCTTGCCTGACCTACTGCCTTCCCACAGCGAACGCACTGGTATTTGAGCCTGCCCCCTGGGAGAGGGGACCGAACCAGCTGATGGCCAAGCGCATCGGGCACCAGCTCGAGACCACCAGGGCGCTGTCTTACAGTGGCTCGGACCCTTGGCACTGGCCCTCCTCCTCCTCCTCCTTCAACTCCTCCGCCTCTTCCACCTCCTCGTCTCCCAAAGTCCCCGTCCTCCTCTTCCTCCTCCACCATCTCCTCCTCCTCCTCCTCATCCTCCTCCTCCTCCTCGTCCTCCTCCTCTTCCCGTGCCCACTTTCGATCCCCCGCCTTCTCCTCCTCCTCCTCCTCCTCCTCCTCCTCCTCCTCCTCCTCCTCCTCCTCCTCCTCCTCACCACCACCACCATCCCCCGCCTCCTCGCTTGGCACCGCAGTAGAAGGGAGATTGAGGGAGGACAGGGAGGAGATCTTGGAGGAGATAGGGAACGGAGGAACGGGAGGGAGAAGGAGGGTGAAGAGGAAACAGTCGAGGCGTGTCGAGCTCATGGACGATTCCTGGGCAACTGGCACCATCGCATGGCGTCACCTTGGAGAGCGGCATCTCGCCGCTGCCGAACTGCAAACGATTCCCGACCAAGAGGGAGGAGGGGTAGGAAGAGGAGGCTGGAAAGGAGGGAGAGGGAGGGGGAAAGAGGAATGAGGAGGGATGATGAGAGAGGGAGAATGTAGCCCCAAAACAAGCGGAGTGAGGAGTGATGAGAAGAGGGAAGGGGGAACAGGAGGAGTGATGAGAAGGATAGAGGAGTGGTGATGAGGAGAGAGAGAGGGAAAAATAGAGAGAGAGCGTGGGCCAGGGAGTGAGAGAAATGAACTAAGCGCCTTCTGGCTCTCAGTTGCGCTAAGATGAACGAGGAACGCAAATAGAAGCACATGCACATACCAACGAAGTGGCTACAGCGGACCAATTGCAGCATGCTGCGCTTCAGCAGAGCATACGCTTCGACGAGCGCTGCGCAGCTCCTTCGTCCACCACTGTACGAGAGAGTGCGGGGAGAGGTGAAATCCTGGAAGGCCGGCCTGGAGCGAGCAGGATGACTGGAGGAAACCTTCGGATAAAGAGAACATATCAGTAACGTAAACTCTCAGAGCTCCGCCCATCTTGGATAGGCGCTGATTCCTTTTCCAGGGGGGACCCGGCGCCGATCCGAGAGATCCGCGCGGAGCGTCGAAGGCTTATGACTATGATGATTCTTGTTCCTCGATGGAAACAGAGGCAGAGAGAGAGGGAGATTCCAGAAAGAACGCTCCCTCCCGAATCGAGCAAACACGGTTGGCCGCCATCCTCCCCATGCAGGTCTCTGGAAAGCTCCCCGAAGTCTGCGGAGCCCCCCAGCGGCTTGAAAAACTCTATCCTCCACCTCCTCCTCCCCCTCCTCCTCCCCCTCTTCCCTCCTCCTCCTCATTCCATCTCGCTCCCGCAATGCAGCGCGCTACCCGTACGAGGCGGGGCGTGGGACCGAAATGGCCAGCTTCAACACCGGCCTTGCTACATTGATGTCAATGACCTCACGCGCGCTGCCAGCGCACAAGGCAACAGAGAACGGGGCCACCTTCCTTCTCCTCCTCCTCCTCCTCCTCCTCCTCCTCCTCCTCCTCCCCCTCCTCCTCCTCCTCTCCTCCTCCTCCTCCTCCTCCTCCTATTCCTCCTCCTCCTCCTCCTCCTCCTCCCTCCTCCTCCTCCTATTCCTCCTCCTCTTCATCCTCCTCCTCCTCCCCCCTCCCGCTCATCCTCATCCTCCTCTCCTCCTCCTCCTCCTCCTCCTCCTCTCCTCCTCCTCCTCCTCCTCCTCTTCCTCAATATTGCCTCCTCCTCGTTCGCCCCTCCTCCTCCCTCTTCCTCCGTCCCTCCTCCATCCCCCTACCGTCCCCGTCCCTCCTCCTCCTCTAGCGCTGCTCTCTCCTTCCTCTAGCGCTGCTCCCTCCTCCCCCTCCTCCTCCTCCTCCTCCTCCTCCTCCTCCTCCTCCTCCTCCTCATCCTCCTCCTCCACTTCCTCCTCATCCTCCTCCTATTCCTCCTCCTCTTCATCCTCCTCCTCCTCCCCCTCCCGCTCATCCTCCTCCTCCTCCTCCTCCTCCTCCTCCTCCTCCTCCTCCTCCCCTCCTCCTCCTCAATAGTGCCTCCTTCTCGTTCGCCCCTCCTCCTCCTCCCTCTTCCTCCGTCCCTTCTCCATCCCCCCTACCGTCGCCGTCCCTCCTCCTCCTCTAGCGCTGCTCTCTCCTTCCTCCAGTTCCGTCCACTCCCTCCTCCCCCTCCTCCTCCTCCTCCTCCTCCTCCTCCTCCTCCTCCTCCTCCTCCTCCACTTCCTCCTCCTCATCCTCCTCATCCTCCGCCTTCCTCCTCCACTTCCTCCGCTTCCGCCTCCTCTACCCTCACCCTTTTTCCATCCTGCGTTTCCACTTTCTTCTCCCCCTTCTCCTCCTCCACCTTCTCCTCCTCCTTCCTCGTCGTCCTCCTCCTCCCTCCTGGCACCGCCTAGATCCCCGTCGACACCTTTTATAGACTTCCCCTGCTGATACCAAACGCCATATGCTCCTCCGCCTCCCCTCCTCTTGGCGGCGAGCGCCGTGGGGAAGTGAGAAGGGGCGTGCCTTCTCAGAAGGCTCGGAAGACCTCCCGCCTTCTGAACAGTTGTCCAACCCTTCCCCAAAGACACACACAACTTCTTAGAAGGCCCATTTCCTCCCTTGCTCGCCGCCGATCCTCCTGCAGACACGGGGACGACGTGGAAGAGGAGAAGGGCGACGGGGAAGGAGGGTGACGATGAGGCCCCGGGGATCGCAGAGGGTAAGATGAAGCTAGGGCGAGGACAAATTCGGGTGAGGATAAGTCGAGAACCTCAGAGATCCTGCGGCTCTTGATGGGCTGACTCTTCACCACCAATGACATAGGAAGCGCTCAGCCAGTGGAACTCGTGTGGCGCAAAATTGCGCGATGCCCAGTTCGCGATCTTCAAAGATGCCGCAAATGTAGGGCCATCGAACGGCATACGAGTGTGTCGTGCTCCCATGTTCTTCTCTGGCGCTAGGGACCGAGGAGAGAAGGCGCGCATCAAATTGGGCATGACCCAGTCCTAATCAAGCGATGCGCAACCATACAGAAATACTTAACGAAGAGGATAGATGGGCACAAGTTGTGCCGACAAAGCAATGCGGAGAGAGGGCGAGAAGTGATGAGCGATGATGAAAGAAGAGGTGGGTGAGAAGGACGGAAAGGACGAGAACTCGAACAGCATCCGATCCCATCTGGAGCCGCACCCTTCATCGCCTCTCATTGCAAGCTGCTCCCTGACCCACGTCGCATGCATGCTCGTCTGCATCATTCGCTCAAATGCGCGTCCCTTGCTGGAGCAGCTGCCACACCGCACAATGCAAATACTTGCACGTCCGCCCACGGGACCATAGGAGACACTAATATTGATACAGAGCGTACGGCGTGGCCATGCAAACTTCTTGCTTGAGCCTGGTCATTCTGCAGAACACAGAGCTGACCTGCGCTCCACCCGCATCTGCCGCCCTGATCATCCTCGCTGTCTCCCTGCTCCTCCCTCCTCCTCAGCATCCCACCGCCCTTCTCAGCCCTCCTCCTCCTCCTCCTCCTCCTCCTCCTCCTCATCATCATCATCATCATCATCATCATCATCATCATCATCAGCATCAGCATCATCATCATCATCATCATCATCATCATCAGCATCATCATCATCATCATCAGCATCATCATCATCATCACCATCAGCATCATCATCATCATCATCATCATCATCGTCATCATCATCGTCATCATCATCATCCTCCTCATCATCAGCATCAGCAGCAGCATCATCATCATCCCCATCATCATCATCAGCATCATCATCATCAGCATCATCAGCATCATCATCAACAACAGCATCATCATCATCAGCAGCATCATAATCATCATCATCAGCATCATCATCGTCATCATCAGCAGCATCATCATCATCATCACCACCACCACCACCATCATCATCATCATCATCAGCATCATCATCATCATCGTCATCATCATCATCATCATCACTACTCCTCTTTGTCCTCCTCCTCCTCCTTCTCCTCCTCCTCCTCTTCGCTAACCTCCGCCTTGTTGCTCGTAACCATCCTCCCCCCTCATCCTCATCCTCCTCCCACGTACTCCTCCCACGTCCTCCTCCTACTCCTCCTCCTACTCCTCCTCCTCCTCCTCCTCCTCTGCCTCCACATCCTCTTCCTCCTCTTCCTCCTCCTCCTCCTCCTCTTCGCTCGCCTCCGCCTTGTCCCTCGTAACCATCCTCCTCCCTCATCCTCAGCCTCCTCCCACGTCCTCCTCCCACGTCGTCCTCCTCCTCCTCCTCCTCCTCCTCCTCCTCCTCCTCCTCCGCCTCCTCATCCTCCTCTTCCTCCCGTTTCTCCTCCTCCTCCTCCTCCTCCTCCTCCTCCTCCTCCTCCTCCTCCTCCTCCTCCTCCTCCTCCTCCTCCTCCTCCTCCTCTTACTCCTCCTCCTCCTCCTCCTCCTCCTCCTCCTCCTCCTCCTCCTCCTCCTCCTCCTCCTCCTCCTCCTCCTCCTCCTCCTCCTCTCCTCCTCCTCCCCCTTCCTTCTCCCTCCTCCTCTCCCTCCTCCTCCCTCCCTTCCCTCCTCTCTCCCTCCCGCCCTCCTCCCGCCCTCTCCTCCCTCCCTCCCTCCCTCTCTCCCTTCCCCCCCCCGCCTACTCCTCCTCCTCCTCCTCCTCCTCGTCCTGTCTACTTGTTGTTGCTCTTCGTCTTCATCCTGCCTCTCCTCCCTGCCTCCTGGCAGCACCGCGCACGCGCTCCTGCAGACCCGGAGCGGCCGCGGTGGCAGCAGCACGCCGGGGATCGCACCGAGACGGATCGGGGATCGACGATCGCCAGGAGGACGTCAGCGGAGGACGTCAGCGGAGGACGAGGAGGAGGGAGGAGGGAGGAGGGAGGAGGGAGGAGGGCGAGGAGGAGAAGGAGGAGGAGGAGGAGGGAGGAGGAGGGAGGAGGAGGAGGAGGAGGGAGGAGGAGGAGGAGGAGGAGGACGACGACGAGGGAGGACGAATTGCAGAGACATGAACTCTCGACGCTCCGCATGGCCTTCCAGGAATCTTGCATCCTAATACCGCGCAGCCCTACTCTACACGCGCTGACTGTATGCGCTTGCACCGATCGAAGAAGACGCGAATGCATGGGCAAAAGCTTCTGGAGATCCGAGAAGTATGTTGTTCCCTCGTCGAGTCCACTGTCAACTACACGGCTACGCTGGTCCCAGCCAGGCCAATCGTGAGATCGGCATCGTTGCATATGGCTCCCTGGCCAAGCCAGGAAGGCGTATAAACCCATCCTGGGTCCAGGGCTGGCCAGGCCGGGGCCGACGTAGGCGTATAGTGGGCACCCGCCGAAATCGAGGATCAACGATCGAGGACTTGACATGAGGCAGGATCGAGGATCTAAATCGAACATCGAGGATGCCAGACATCGAGGATCGACGATCGAGAATCGCCGATCGAGGATCGTCGATAGGAGATCGAGGATCGGCGATCGAACACATGGCGCGGCCTGTTGGACAGTGGTCATATGACCAAGGGGCTCTCCCTGGGACTGGCTTTTCATCCTGAGTCACTTGTTCCTGGTCCTGGGGCTTGGGGAATGCTCCAGGGGCGCGAAACTGCGAAAAGACTTGAAAAAGCTGCAGAACCTATGTTCACCTGGACGTCCTTCGTGGTCAGAGATACCGAGGATGCAGAACAAATCAAAGATCGACGATCGAGGATCTGGGTCTGGAAAATTGTGGGCCCTTCTGGGGCCTCTGGAGGCCTCTCAACATCATCCAGAGACCCCCAGATCCAGGCGTCACCAACAAACAGATACGGCCAGAGTTTCGCAGTCTGAGGCCTCCAGCGCAGGAGAGCCCATAATCGAATCGATTACCAAGAGAGGCACGTCTGGCACCTGGCAGCTCGCTTTAATCAGCATAGCGAGATCTGATAGAGGGTGCTGCGCAGGAGGCGGTGCACGTCTAGCACCAAGAAGTTGTTGTCCATAAGCTTGGGGAGGGGCCTTAACAGAGGATGCTGCGCCACAGTGGGGGCCTGTGAAGGCGAGGGGCACGTCTAGCACAAAGGAGCTGCTGTTAATCAGCTTCCGGAGTGGCCTCGTCATGTAGAGGACGCTGCGCCACGACGGGGGCCTGTGAAGGAGAGGGGCACTCCTAGCACCAAACAGTATCTGTTGATCAGCCCGAGGGGTGCCCAGCCTAGCAGAGGGGGCCTGTGTGGCAGAAAGGGCCAGTGCAGAAGGGGCGGCCAGACCAGTAGCAAAGGAACTGTTGTAATCAGCTTGGGGAGGGGCCTTGTCAAATAGTGGGTGCCGCGCCGCCGGGGGGGGGGCCTGTGTTGGAAAAGGGGCACGTCGAGCGCCAAGCAGACGTTTTCGGTTGAGTTGGCCCAGGGGGAGGGGCCTCGCGTGACAGAGGGTGCTGCGCGGGGGAGGGGGCACGTCCAGCAGTTCTGCCGCCTCCGCTTGGGGACTGGCCCTGTCCAGTGGAGGATGCTGCGCACCAGACGGGGGCCTGTGAAGGAGGGGAGGCACGTCTAGCACCAAGTAGCCTGTGATCATCAGCTTCGCGAGGGGCCTCGCCCAGTCGAGGGTGTGCTGCGCAGGAGGGCGGGCACGTGCAGCGCCTCGCACCGGGGAGCTGTTGTTGAGCAGCTCGTGGATGGGCCTTGTCAACCAGACGGTGCTGCGCAGAACAGGGGGCCTGCGGAAGGCGAGGGGGACGTCGAGCACCAAGGAGCATGTTTCATCAGCGGGGGGGGGGCCTTGTCTAACAGAAGGGGCATGTGTATTGGAGAGGGCCGGTGTAGGATGTGAAGCGCGCATCGTATCAACAGCTTGCTGAATCAGCTTGGGTAGGGGGCCTCGTCTGATAGAGGGAGCTGCGCAGCAAATGGGGACCTGTGCAGCCATAGGGGCGCATCCGGCATCAAGCAGCTTGCTTCAATCAGCTTGGCGATGGGCCTTGTCTAATAGAGGGTGCTGCGCAGGAGGCGGTGCACGTCTATCACCAAGACGATGTTTTAATATGCTTGGGGGCGGGCCTTGTCTTAAAAGAGGATGCTGTCAGCAGAGGCGGGCCTGTGAAAGAGGAGATGCACGGCCAGCACCAAATATTCTCTCAAATCAATTTAGCGAGGGGCCCTGTCTAACAGAGGGTGCTGCGCAGGAGGATGGGTACGTCGACAGCCAAGGAGTTGTTGATCAGCTTGGGGAGGGGCCTTGTCAAATAGAGGGTGCCGCACACCAGCGGGGGCCTGTGAAGGAGAGGGGCACTTCTAGCACCAAGAAGTATGTTTAATCAGCTGGGGAAATTCCGATGCCTAAGAGACAGAAGGGGCCTGTGTAGTAGAGTGCCCGTGTAGGAGGAACGGCACGTCTAGTAGCTTGGGGAAGAGCCTTGTCGAACGGAGGGCGTTGCGCAGGGGAGGGGGCACGCCAACCGGCTGTTTGTCATCAGCTTGGGGACGGACCTTGTCTAACAGAGGGTGCTGCGCACCAGAGGGAGCCTGTGACGTATAAGAGGCACGTCTAGCATCAAGGAGTTCTTTCAATCAGCTCGGCAAGGGTCCTTGTCTACCAGAGGGGGCCTGTGTAGGAGAGAGGGTCGGCGAAGAAGGAGCACCGCTTCTAGTATCGAAGGAACTTGTTCACTCTGCTCGAGGTGGGGCCTTGTCTAATACAGGGTGGGGGCGCGTCCAACCCCACGTAGCTTGTTCTCACCAGCGGGTGGGTCCTTGTCTGATACAGGGTGCTGTGCAGGAGGAGGGGCACGTCTAGCACCAAGAAAATGTTGTCGATCAATGTTGGGAGGGGCCTCGTATAATGAAGTGTGCTGCGCAGCAGAGGGGGCCTGTGAGCGGGGGCCCTCTGCTAGGCGTTCGGACCTGCGTGTGTCGATGTTTTGATTGCGCCCACTGGTTCGACTCCAGCAATCACACTAGGGACCAACATGGGAAAACCAAAAAAAAACAGACCATCGAACCACCAAATTTCTTCGGGACCTCCAATTGCACTAACGGTCGCTAACGCCCCAGGAGACCCCTCCTCCTCCTCCTCCTCCTCCTCCTCCGCCTTCTCGCCCTTGTCCACATTGCCGTCACTCCTCGCGAACCGGGGAGTGTGGGCCCATCGCCGAACGGATGTTTTCGTGTGGCTTTCGTAAGGCTGTCGCATCCTCCCTCCTCCTCATCCTCTTCCTCCTCCTCCCCTTCTCCTCCAAGGGAACGATGAGGAGGATGAGGAGATGAGGATGAGATCCCTCCTCACCGCACCAAGCGAGCTCACTCCGGCGAAGGGCCACTCTGCATGCAGCCATCGTGCTACCGTCAGGAACCCACAATCAGGAGCGAAAAGGCTTTCGTGGGTACTGCAGGCCTGGGCCACACACACACACACACACGTTCCACGACATAAAA